GATCCGAAGCCAGGAGCCTCTTCCGGGTCTCCCACGTGGGTGCAGGGTCCCAAGGCTTTGGGCCGTCCTCGACTGCTTTCCCAGGCCACAGGCAGGGAGCTGGATGGGAAGCGGAGTTGCCGGGATTAGAACCGGTGCCCATATGGGATCCCGGGTGTGTTCAAGGTGAGGGCTTTAGCCGCTAGGCCACGCTGCCGGGCCCTAAAACAATAATTTGGTATTTGTGAAGTCAGTGTGTTTTATATATTTATATACACACACATATTTACACAAAAAAATCACATTTTTGGAAATCTTTTGAAATCTTCATAACAAATCGATAATTAACATGCCAGCTCTTACTTTCTATCACCATGAATGTCCAGTGCCCAGGCACCCAGTCAGGGGGTAGGGAGAAGAGCATTTTTCTAACCCCCAAATAGGTTACTCCCACCTAGGTCGTCAGAGCGAATTAACTTTTAATAACTCTTTGAACTTGTCTTCTGTTTTTCATAAAGCTAGGCTGCATTGTGAGGTGTTGGAGTCAGCTTGGCCGTCCGTGCCTTTTACGTTTTATTTTCTACCTTTGACATTCTACCTTCAACTTCACCTGCTAAGACGATTTTTTATTTCCTGAAATGCATATGGCATGTGGTTCTTTGTCTTTCTTGGGCATGCTCCGTGGGAGCCTCTGTTCTCCATCCTGTAGGCAGGGGTGAGTGGGATTCTGAGGCTCTCTGAACTCCAAGTGGCTTTATAGGGCAGAGAGACCACGGCCTCCTACTTCCGCTTAGAGGTCCATGACCTTGCCCGGCAGGTTTGCAAGATTCGTGTCTGCTCAGTGGGAGCGCGCCCCTGGCTCTCGGCCTGCGTGGGAGCTCGTGGGCACGCAGCACACCGTGTCCCAGGGAACCCCCGCACAATGGTGTTGGCTAACCGAGACCTCAGCCTGACCTGTTCACTGGCCCATCGGAGAGGGCGGTGGGTGGCACCCCAGTCTCTCTTCTCTGTCCTTGGACGAGCTGTGCTGGGACTTCCTTGATTAGCAATCTGAGCAGTCAGGTGCGGTTACCTGCCAGCCTACCTGCCAGCCGGGAGTACTGCACGTGAGCTGTGACGTGATTGGAGGGTCTGGGGAGATAGACATGACTTCCAGCCAGTTACAGTGCCGCTGCTGGGTAGGAGGGCTGTCAGGTCCTCTTCCCGCCTTCTCCTTTGCTTAATCTACACAAGTTTGTACGCGTGTTACAATAAGCAGACATGCTTGATCAGACTGTCATCGGTGGTTCTCACTGCCGAACAACACTGTCGCCTCACCCCCGAGGTGGTCGCGGGCACCTGCTGCTCAGGAACCCCCCAGATACTCCCTATAATTATCCCTATTGTTGATAATTATCCCTATCGTTGAAAATGAACACAGACAGGCCTTTTTGTCCAATCCCATAAGGTTATCAGAGGCTGTGCTATAGAAGTTCAGCCTGGTATCCCCATTCCACTGGTTGTTTGTTTTGTTTTGCTTTGTTTGTTTTTAGATTTATTCATTTTTTATTGGAAAGTCCAATTTACAGAGAGAAGTAGAGACAAAAACATCTTCCATCTGCTGGTTCACTCGCTGAGTGGCCACCACGGCTGGAACTGCACAGATCAGAGGCCACGGGGTTCTTCCAGGCTTCCCACGCGGGTGCAGGGTCCCAAGCCTTTGGCCCATCCTTGACTGCTTTCCCAGGCCACAGGCAGGGAGCTGGATGGGAAGTGGAGCATCTGGGACGTGAATCAGCGCTCCTAGGGGATCCCAGCAGTTGCAAGGAGAGGATTTAGCCATCAGGCAATCATGCTGGGCCCGTTCTGGCTACATTTACTCCACTGAATATCACAGCTGTGAAGGTGTGTTAATCGCTAACATATCATACGTATGGAAAAACACTGGGAAGAATAGATCAGAAGCAGCAGGTGCTTAGCCCGATGGTTAAGAGAGCCTGTTTCACAACAGTTCTGGGCTCTTGGTCCTTAACTCCAACTTGCCATCAATCCAGAGCAGGAAAGGCAACAGATGGTTCAAATAACTGAATTCCTGCTGCCACAGTGGGTATTGACATAGAGTTCCCAGAAACTGGCTCCAGCTCCAGGCTTCGCGACATCTGGAAGGGAAGACTCTGTCTCTGTGTGTAATTCTCTTGCTTGCCTTTTAACTAAATTTTTGAAAATGAAAGAAGAATAAACCTAATTGCTCATAGTGACCTTCTCTGGGTGACCTTTACAGCTTTTTCTATTTTTAATTTTCAATATGGAACTAGATCATAATTATTAGTTCATGGCATTCTATATCATGGGTCTACAAAGAAGCTCACTTTTTAAATGTTGGGGGATTTGATTATGTTTAATAATGGAATAAGAAACCATGAAGACACTCCACATAAACAATAGGCCCTTCAGAGACAGAATCGTGGCATAGCAGGTTCAGCTGCTGCTGTGTGATCCCAGCATCCCATATGAGCACAGCTTTGGGTCTCAGCTGCTATGCTCACAATTCAGGCAGATTCTGTCTAATGAACTTGGGAAAGCAGTGGAAGACGGCTCAAGTACGGGGGACCCAGATAAGAGCGTCAGGATTCTAGCTCCAGCCCTTTGGAAGGGAGCCAGTGGATGCAAGACGGACCACTCACGCCTCTGTGCGTCTTTCCTCACTCTGTAACTCTGCCGTTCAGAGAAACAAATAAACCTTTCAAAGTTAAATCCTTCTTTTAAAAAATATGGACACACACATATACATACCAGGGTATTGACCGGCAGCCAGTTGGATGGCAAGTGGAGTAACTGGGACTGGGACGGTGGCCAGTGGGAGGCTGATGTTACAAATGGCAGGCTTGTTGCACCCTAAGGTCGACTTCAAGAAACCCTTCTTGGCCTCAAGTTTTTCTGATTAGCCTTTCAAAAATTTTATTTGATTTTGTTTGAAAGGATCTCTCTCTCTCTCTCTCTGTCTTTCTCTCTCTCTCTCTCTCTCTCTCTCTCACACACACACACACACACACACATACTGAGAGAGCAAGAGTGAGCTACAGAGAGAGAGAGACACACAGAGAGAGAGAACGCTTGTATCCTCTGGCCCACTTCTCCCTTTTGCTTTTTTCCTTCCTTTCTTACTTCATTGTTGGCAATAAATAAGCATTCATTAGGGCATCTCCAATTCTAAGTCTATTCCTCTGGGACTGTGAAACGTCGCTAGGACACGATCTTGTGAGCAGAGCACAGGGTCAGTTGTGGGGTGCTGGAAAGAGGCGGAACGGGGTGACGGCAGCCTGGGTGGCTGTGCATCGTCCCTCCACCCCTGGCTTTTCCATGCAGTTTTCTTTCTTTCTGCTGTACATTGTATTCCATAGTCCCAAATGTCCCTGGCTCAATTTCTTTTGAAAACGAGCCTGTGCTCTGGGTAGGAGCAGCTACTTCCCACGCACAGTTCCGAGCTCTCCCCTGCTTCCAGCACTCCTGACACCCTGGTGTCTCCAGCTCCAGGGCCTTTGCTGTGTCCTGTATATCAGTTTTCCTCCTCCTAAATCCCCAACTCTGCTACAGTACCCATCCCTCCACCGGATGCTGCAAACTCCTCTCTTCTGGAGCTTTCTTATTTCATTCTTTCTCTTTGTAGGTTTATGCAGTTTCAATTTTTAGGCTATCAGGAGGACTTAGATTTAATCTGTCATGTCAAGTCCTGTTACCAGTTTGCTAACAACATTAAATAGCTTGCAGATTCATTGATTCAATTACTAAATCTGGATTGATCTATAACTATTGATTTTTTTTTTTTTAAGATTTATTTACTTTTATTGGAAAGGCGGATATACACAGAGGACAGAGACAGAGAGGAAGATCTTCCGTCCCATGATTCACTCCCCTAGAGGCCGCAACGGCTGGAGCTGAGTCAATCCAAAGCCAGGAGCCTCTTCTAGGTCTCCCACGTGGGTGCAGGGTCCCAAGGCTTTGGGCCGTCCTCGACTGCTTTCCCAGGCCACAAGCAGGGAGCTGGATGGGAAGAGGAGCTGCCAGGATTAGAATCGGCGCCCATAAGGGATCCCAGTGCGTGTGCAAGGCAAGGACTAACCAGTACACTATCATGCCGGGCCCAACTAATGATTTTTTTTAAGAGTTATCTATTAGAAGAGCAGACTTTACAGAGAGAAAGAGAAACAGAGAAAGATTCTCTGTCCACTGATTCCCTCCCCACGTGGCTGCAATGGCCAGAGCTGAGCCGATCTGTAGCCAAGAACCAGGAGCCTTCTGCTGGTCTCCCATGCAGGTGCAGGGTCCCAAGGCTTTGGGCTGTCCTTGACTGCTTTCCCGGGCCACAAGCAGGGAGCTGGATGGGAAGTAGAGCAGCTGGGACATGAGCTGTCACCTATATGGGATCCCAGTGCCTGCAAGGCAAGGATTTAGCCACTGAGCTATCGTATTGGTCCGGTGCTTTTTAAATATTATATGACAAATGGATGATGGTTATTGTGAACTTTCATAGTGGTTTTGGTCAATGAAAACATTTTGAAAATGTTAAGATTTTCTAGTCATTTAAAAGCTCCAAACAGAGAAGAAATATTTGGATATATCCTGACAAAGCATTTCTAGAGTATATAAAACATACAGAAAATATGAAACAGTGCTCATGAATCAATTAAAACAGGAGTTTTCACTGATTTTTATTTAACTTGGGCGATTTTGGTGTCAAATGGACAAAGCTCGCGTGAGTTTTCTATATATTTTTTTTAAAGATTTATTTTTATTATTTTTTATTGGAAAGGCGGATATACAGAGAGGAGAGACAGAGAGAAAGATCTTCCGTCCGATGATTCACTCCCCAAGTGAGCGCAAAGGCCGATGCTATGCCGATCCGAAGCCAGGAGCCTCTTCCGGGTCTCCCACACGGGTGCGGGGCCCCAAAGCTTTGGGCCGTCCTCGACTGCTTTCCCGGGCCACAGGCAGGGAACTGGAAGGGAAGTGGGGCTGCCGGGATAGAACCGGCGCCCATATGGGATCCCGGGCGTGGAAGACGAGGACCTTAACCACTGCGCCACGGCGCCTGGCCCAGTTTTCTATATTTTTAACATGCAGTGTTTCTCAACATAGAAGTCTAATTCTAGTTAATAATAACATACAGTGCTTCTCAGGATAGAAGTCTAACTCTACTTAATAATCATAATTACAAAAGAATCAGAGCCTTGCATCATCTACTTGCAACCTCTCTCCCAACAGTATTTTATGCAAAAGCTGAGAGAAAAATAACGCAAGTGAAATATTGAAAGTTCCAAGTGGGCAATCCCAACTCCATTTCCAAACTCTGGGTGAAATATTTGGGTCAGACGGTGTCCTCGAACACCCGACTGTAGGTCCCGTGGTTGTCCGTGCCCAGCGCGTTTTTCAGACACTGCCAGAAGTAGGCGTGGGCCTGCGGGTTTGTGGGCCACTCGAGGACCGAACTGGCGCACAGCCTCTTGCGGAGCTGCAGGAACTTGGACTTGAGCAAGGGTTTTTCGAGGAATACCAAGATGATCACGTCGACTTTTTCATCCATGAGCCTCTGATGCGACAAATAAAACGCGATTTTAAAATTCTCCGTCTTTGCATACTTGTCCGTCATGACAAAAATTGTCTTTTTGCTCAGCTGGATGCTCTGGGAGAGGTTTTCCAGCACCGGTTGCCCTGGTAACCAGTCTCGTTCCTCCAGACACAAGTTAAAACGTTTGTCTTTTGGGTGTTCGAGTCTGGCCACGAGCTCGTCCAGGACCCACTCGGTTACCGCCGGGTCGCGGGTGTCGTACACCACAAAGGCGTCGTAACAGGAGCCCAGGGTCACACGCTGGTACCCCTGGAGCTTGGCCTTGCACAGATGGTAACTGTACCACACGTCCCAGAAGTAGCGGTGACTGGCTGTCATGACGACCATGAGAAAGAGCACCAGAGACAAAGAGAAGGAAAACAGCACCAGGTTGGTTAAGTCTAACTCGCACGTGTACAAATCCAGAGACACCACGCTCTGGCCCTTGTGTGCCCCCGGCCCCGCGCACGTCACTTCCGTGGCCAGGTAAGGGATGGTCACCTTCGTGTGATTCACCCACCACACCAACCACACGGCGTCGCAGGTGCACAAAAACCGGTTCCGGTGCAAAAGCAGTAATTCCAAATGATCGAGCACGTTTTCCGGGAAGCTACTCTTCTCGATCATTTGGATTCTGTTGAAGCTGAGGTCCAGGTGTCGCAGCTCGGAAACATCTTGCAGGAAATATTTGGTCAGGCGCCTGATCTGATTGTGCTGCAGAAACAGTTTCTTGAGGCTTTTGGAGCAGTTGAACAATCTCTCAGGGACCGTCGTCAGTTGGTTGTGACTGAGATCCAAAACTTCCAGGTTTTTCAGCGACTGCAGTTTGCCCCAGTTGAAAGATTTGAGTCCGTTTCTCGTCAGGGACAGAGTCGTGAGTGTGAACGGCATTGCATCAAAAACACCCGGAGGCAGGAAACTCAGCGAATTTCTAGAAATGTCCAGTTCCGTCAAGTTCGACAGATTCTTGAAGAATTCTAAGTAGCGGTTATCACCGTCTCGCCACAGAACATCCAAGCGGTTTCCTCGGAATTCTAGAGTTTTCAGAGATTCGCTCTCCATGGTCCTGCTGGTGGAGGTCGAGATGTCATTATCATTCATAATCAGTTTCGTGAGATGCTTGAGGTTCTTGGTGAAGTTGAGCATGTGAGTGATTCCTTCTGACTCAAAATAATGGCTATTTTTACTGAGATCCAGAACCTCCAGTTTGGAGAGCTCCTCGAACGCCGTGGAGTAGAGCAAATCCAGCCGGTTGTTGGAAAAATCCAAATATTTCAACTCCACCAGAGGCTGGAATTCACTTCCATTAAGAGTTTGCCCGATGGTATTTCCGGATAAGTTCAAACATTTGAGAAACGAAAGATTGCGAAAGTCAGAGGGCTGGATAAAAAAGATGTTATTTCTGCTCAGGTCCAAGGTCTGCCCGTAACCATGGCACTCTCCCTCGAGAGGCGAGGAGGAAGGGGTCTCTCTTGTTTTATACTTGCAGCTCCTCGCATATTCATCGTAGGTGAAATAATGCAAGGTGTCCATGAGCTGAGGGGCACGACTTTCTGCAAAAGCTCTGCTGTTGGAACAGGCTCCAAGCTCACTGGTGTCACCGGATGGCGATATTTTATTCACGGACAGATCTATGACTTTTAATCTTTCAAATTCCTTAAAGATGTTCAGGTCGGCGATTTTAATGAAGTTCGTGCCAAGGTCGAGAACTTCGAGACTCCTAAGATTCCGTAGCGGGGCGAGGTTACTTATGCTCAGCTCTTTAAACACATATCCTTTGATGCGCAAGATTTTCAGTTTTTTTAGGGATGAAAATGCGTCTGACAGATTCAGAAACGCGTGGTAGACCTGCAGTTCGTAATTGAAGGACAGATCCAATTGCAGGAGGTTAGGAAGAGAATGCAAAAACTGGGCATTTGCGATTTCTTTGGCCAGAAAATTCTGCGACAGATCCAGCTGTTCCAGCTTACTCATGTTTTTAAACCATTCCGGCGGCACGTACTGGAGGGAGTTGCTGTGCAGACGCAAAACTTTTAATTCTCCCAACGCATGAAACGCATTTTTGTCGATGTCCAAGTGAGAGTTGTTTGCACACGGCGTGCAAGGAAACGGGACGTTGTAACAACGAGGACAGTTCCCGCTCAGGTCAAGAATCTGCAGCCTGCTCAAATGGCTCAAATCGTTTTCTTGGATTTTTGTAATGATGTTGTTGTATAAATAGAGTTCCGTTAAACTCGTCGGTAAATCTTCAGGGACGGCGGTGAGATTGTTGTCTTTTAAGGACAGCACTGTGAGATTTTGCAGTTGTTGGAAAGTGCCTTTTTCTATGAAAAAGGAAGCGTTGCAAGGGTTGCGATAGTAACAGTTCTGGCCCAGGTAGAGGAGTTCGAGGTGGACCAGGTCGGTGAAATTCTCCCGCGTGATGGAGAAGATGTTGTTGGCCTCGAGGCTCAGGAGGCGTAAACTGCGAGGAAGCTGCGGCGGGATTTCTAAAAGTTGGTTTCCATCCAGATAAAGGGATTGTAACTGACTCAGACCGGAAAAGGTTTGACGTTGGATCCGCAGCCTCTCGGTGCAGATGTTGTTTTTGGGCCCCAGTCGGACGGGGACGCAGTTGCATCGGAAGTCCAGCTCCACCAGCTGCTGCAGCCCCTGGAAGGAGGAGGCGGAGAGGCTGGGGATGTGGTTCACGCTGAGCGTCAGGTTGGTGGTGTTGGCGGGGAGGCCGTCAGGGACTCGAACCAGATGCCTGTCGGTGCAGTCCACGATCAGTTCAGCGCTGCCATTCCCCGTGACGTTGCAAGGCAGGGTCTTCGGATACCACGTGGCCCCCCGGATGCTGCAGGTGAGGACCAGGTGGAGCAGGAGCACGAGTGGGCCCGGGGCCGCGCGCGCTGCGGACGCCTGGGAGTGGGAGAAGCCATAGCTGAGAAGCCGCTTTGAAAACAGGAGAAATCATAATGAGAAGTTGCTTTGAAAACAGGAGAAATTAAAAAAAAGAAAATAGGAGAAATCATAATTGAGAAATTGCTTTGAAAATAGGAGAAATCATAATTTAGAAATTATCACACCAGAAAATGAAAGAAATAATGAACAAATTATTTTTCTAAAATGGAGCAAAAATCAGAACCAAAATGTCCTCGCTCGTGTAACAGGTGGAAGAGCAACAATTCAGCTCTTACTCTCTATTGTCCAATCCCACATTCCATTATTGCATTTGTCAGTTGCTGAGATTTCCACTAATTCTTTGTGTGTGTGTGTGTGAATTTTACTTTCCCACAGACTTTTATAGTAAAATACAAAAAAAAAAAAAATCCACGAGTGTCTTTTTTTTTTTTGATTAATTACATTGCATTATGTGGGTCTTCAAAAATGTCATGGAATGTGCCTCTGATGAAAAAAAAATTGTGCATGGATCGCAAAATGTTCAGCAACAAAATACACTAATTTTGCCCATTCCATCTTCCAGGAACAGGTTTAAGTACTTTTGTATTTGTCTCGTATCATCTCAGCTTTTTAATAGCTTTTCAGACTGTAGAAATTAGTGTTGAATTGCTGAGCCCAGTGTGGCACAATATTCAGAAAATCCAATATTTCATAATATCCAATATTTCCCACCATTCAATATTTTTTCCATGTTTCCCTGCTTAAACCGCAGACCCGCCACCCGGCCCGTTTTCAGTTCTACATTTTTATAACCACTTTGTGTTCTGGCAACTTGCTGTTTCCTCTTTCCCGAATTCTCTTTCTCCTTGCATCAGCTCATTTTTTTTATAATATTAAACTTTAATATTAAATATTCATATTAAACTTTAATAAATGCTAATATTGAATATTAAACAGCAAGATTTTAATGGCCTTATTTTTCATTGTGAGAGGAATTTCAATGTGTTCGTCATACATCAATTTTCTTCTTTTTTTCAAAGTTTTAATCATGCATCAATTTTCTTTCTTTTTCTCAATGTTTTTCTTTTGCAACGTAAGGGTTCAAGCACTGAATTGGTTCTATTTTGTAACACGATCAAATCTATTTTGCTTTTGTTTTGTGAAATTTCTTTTTTTTTAATTTTCTTTCCCGGGGGAAACGATAGCCTCAAGCTATGCATCTGTTTCAGTATTTGCTGAAATTTTGAAAAATTTTTCAAAATTTGTGAAAAAATTCCAAAAAATTCAGAGCTAAATTTTGGAAATGGATCAACTTAGAGGGGAAAAAAAAAAAAATCCAGATGATTTGTTGCTGTGGAACTGCGCTCGCCCTTCCGCAACGCCACATGCGTGAAACTCGCGAATTTATGAAAGTCAAAGTACTTAAAATTATATGCTAATAATTCTATGAATAAACATCAAACCTGCCACAAACACACACACACACAAAAGCATCCCTCACTTGGATATAGGATTTTAACGCCGCTCAGTCCTGCTGGTTTTAGACGCACGTTAGACTCCCGCCAGAATCCTCAGAATTGTGCAAATAGGATTATTCAAAAAAAAAATAAAGTCATTCAGCTTCAAGAATTGTCTTTAAAAGTTGGACTTTTGTGAGAGACACACACGGTTGCAGCTGAGGCGTGGCGGGAATGAGGAAGCGAGAAAGCCACAGGAAGCGCGGGGTTTGATGTCTCATTTCTCGTGTTTATTTCGGGCTGGGTTGCTTCTGAATCAAAAAATGCAAGCAGGACTCGGCCTAATTTTCCTAAAACCCTGAGCTGCTCCGGGAAGAAAACCAAGAGGTAAAGTGTCAATTTAGGAGGAGGGAAAATTAAAAAAATAATAATAAAATACAATGGAAAATCAGCTAAGAATGATCCAGAAACGTTTAGTTGATTCATTGCTATGAAATAGAAATCACGGGAAGAAAACTAAGAGAGAAACCAGCAATTTAGGAAAAGGGGAAATAAAAATAAAAAATAAAATAAAATGGAAAATGAACTAGAGAGGAACGGCGTATCATCCCAAAATCACTGAAACCTCGAGTTTCCCCCAAAATCACTGAAACCTCGAGTTTCTCCCCAAAATCACTGAAGCCTCGAGTTTCCCCCAAAATCACTGAAACCTCGAGTTCCCCCCAAAATTACTGAAACCTTGAGTTTCTCCCCAAAGTCACTGAAACCTCGAGTTTCTCCCCAAAGTCACTGAAACCTCGAGTTTCTCCCCAAAATCACCGAAACCTCGCGTTTCTCCCCAAAATCACTGAAGCCTGGAGTTTCCCCCCAAATCACCCCAGCTTGCTCCATGTTTTGCGAAAGGGTTTGATACAAAGCATCTCCGCGCTGTTCTTACCATGCTCAGCCTTCCCGGATGCAGTTTGGACGGAGCGTGGGGGGCGATCGGCCTGCGCGGGTCCGGGGCTAGAGCCAAGAAGACACAACACGTGACATATCCAATACCGACCAATTAAAAACAATATTTAAAAAAAAAAACTACAGAAAACACCGATCAATTAAGATATACAGCCAATACTGACCAATTAAAAAAATACAGCCAACACTGACCAATTAAAAAAATTACAGAAAACACTGATCAATTAAAAAATACAGCCAATACTGATCAATTAAAAAAATAATCTTTAAAAACTCCAGGAAAAAACCTTTCAAGAATCTCTAGAATTCTAATTTCAGCTGTAAACATCTCTTCCTCCAGATCACCACATTCATCTTCATTTTCTAAGAAAATATATATATTTTTTCCATGTAACTTGGTAATAAAATGTTGTTTTTTTTTTTTGCATGGAACTTGGTAATAAAATGCTTTATTTTTTTGCATGGAAATTGCTAATAAAATTCTTTTTTTTGCATGGACCCTGGTAGTAAAATGCTCTTCTCCTCCCGGTCCCTGAGACGGACACCCCGCGTCTGCTTACCTGGAAACGGTCCCAGTGCCGGTGAGTGGACCCACTGTGCGACATGGAGCTGTGCGCAGGAAGATCGCAGTGTCCCGGCTGCCAGATGTGCGGGGTTCCGGTGCCAAAGCAGCGCCACGCCGTGGGAGGAGCGTCCCTGCCAACGCCCCAGCCACAGAACCACCCACTTCCTCTGGTGTTGCTTTTAACCCACTTTAGTCGGTCACTGTGTTGGTCACTTTGTCAATCAATGGCAGCGGTCAGTTAGTCGGTCACTGAGTCGGTCAGCTGCAGTGCTCACTTAATCAATCAACTGCAGCGGTCATTTAGTCGGTCAATGAGTCAATCAGTTAGTCAATCAACTGCAGCTTTAATAAAGAAACAAGAAACACTCGCCGCTCGCTTCTCTGTTTCGTTTTACTGAGAACTGAAACTGAAGAGACGCTTGACAAAAATGTAATAATACAAATATAGGGCCCGGCGCGGTGGCGCAGTGGTTAAGGTCCTCGCCTTGCACGCCCGGGATCCCATATGGGCGCCGGTTCTATCCCGGCAGCCCCGCTTCCCTTCCAGCTCCCTGCCTGTGGCCCGGGAAAGCAGTCAAGGACAGCCCAAAGCCTTGGGACCCTGCACCCGTGTGGGAGACCCAGAAGAGGCTCCTGGCTTCAGATTGGCTTAGCTCCAGCTGTTGCGGCCTCCTGGGGAGATCTTCCTCTCTGTCTCTCCTCTCTGTATATCCGCCTTTCCAATAAAAACATAATAAAAATAAATCTTTTTTAAAAAATAATACAAATATAATAATGAGAAAGCAAATATAATAATACACATATTTTTAGTTGATTATTTTGAGGTTCGTGTTGTGAAATTGGATTTTTACACCTTTGTGTTGGTTTTCAGTATTGTGTCATTTTTTTAAGAACAATTTTTGAATTAATTATTGTGGATTCGTTGCTCTTGGTCCTTCTGCTTTTAAATTTAAATCGGGTCTCGTGTTTAAAAAATTGGGACAATACTAAAAGTTGTGGAAACACACACACACACATACACAAAAGAACTTGCAGGGTTTTTTTTCCTTGTTCTTTTAACATATTGGTTACTCAATACTATGTCAACTAATTCCATTACGTTATAAATTGTTACTGATGTAATGTCGGGGCTTTTAATTGATTGGGATGATACTCTGTCGGCTCTACCTTCAGACCAGAGATGGTCTCCCCAAGAAACCCTTGAACTTATCTGGACAATAAGACGCTGGACTTGATGCTTGGTAGATGCTTGCAATGAAAGAATCTCAACTGAATTTGAGCTGTGGTAATGCAACAAGGTGGAGGAATCCACCATGGCGGGGGGAGTCCCAGTGCCTATAACACTGTGTCACATAATGCAATGTAATCAATAAAAAAATTAACAAAAAAAATGGGACAATAATCATGATAATAATATCTAATATTAATTACTTTGTAACAATCATGATCATCATTAATATTCATAATTATGATATTGATCGGGGTTTGTATTTTATGACACATTTTCGTCTTATTCAGAGCAAGTTAAAAATTGCGGGTCGCTCTCATGAACTATGCAAAGATTGTAAAAAACAGAATAAAAAATAATAAAATAAGAAATGGGATTCAAGAATGTGGGTCGCCCTCATTAACTATGCGAAGATTGTCACAAAAAAAACCACAACAAGCATGCGATCAACAAACGCGACGAACAGAAACACTACCCTTTAATTTCACTTCTAGTGTCCCGTGTGGTAGCCTAGCAGCTGAAGTCCTCGCCTTACATGTGCTGGGATCCAATATGGGCACCGGTTCTATCCCGGCGGCTTCCCATCCAGCTCCCTGCCTGTGGCCCGGGAAAGCAGTCGAGGACGGCCCAAAGCTTTGGGAACCTGCACCCGCGTGGGAGACCCGGAAGAGGCTCCTGGCTTCGGATCGGCATAGTATCAGCCGGTGCGCTCACTTGGGGAGTGAATCATGGGACGGAAGATCTTCCTCTCTGTCTCTCCTCGTCTCTGTATATCGGCCTTTCCAAAAAAAGTAAAATAGGTCTTTTTTAAAAAACGTGTTTCAGAGAAGAAAGAACGATATTTCTGCCATCGACCCGTTCACTACCGAGAGCCTTCAGTGGCTTGGCTCGGGCCAGCCAAAGTCAGAGAGAAGGAACCCAATCCAGCTATCCCGTGTGATGAAAAGGAAGCAGCTTGCTCCATTACCTCCTGCCTGCAGAGGCGTTGATTAGCAGGAACCGGAGCTTGGCTGCAGAGGCGGGCCTGGAACCCAGGCTGCCATGTGGCATGTATCCATGCCTGGACAGGAGATGGTCGTTGGAGGACTCAGAGTGGGGGACAATGCTCCAAGGGGGTTTCTCTCGTAGGCTTGATTACCATGAGAAGTTGTTGAAATTCTTTCTCAGGCCTGTTGGCTGTCCTTGTCGGCCTCAGCGTGTCCCCAGTAAGTGCCTGTTGTAAAACCTGGCCTGGAGTGTTGTCCAACCGTCCTTTAGCCATCTTTTGATGAGGTACGCAAAGTCTTGTGTTGGCTTAGATGAGTTGGCTGTCTTTTTTTTTTAATGTATGTATATTGTTTACATAGTTGAGAGGAACACACATCCATGTGGGTTTCCAATGAGAGTGGGGAGGGTCAAAATACGGAGGAAGTTAGGTGGGACAAAGGTGTCAGTTCTTTTTATTTTCCTGGTCTGCTGGGACAGGGGAAGGGGAGGGAACTGCTCCTTGGTGTCAAACCACATCAGCACCCAGGGATGGGGGATGGTCATTTGATATCATCTTGGAGACCCCAATATGGACAAGAGTGTTACTCGGGTGGTTTTAGTGATTCCGAGGTATTGTGCTTTGTGTTGCTCCAGGGTTGAGAAGATCTTCCAAAGGTCTTTTGGCTGACAAAGTCCACCTCCGTGTGTATCCACAGACCCATGCACTTTCGTGTCATCCTTGCGCAGGGGCCACACTAATCTCTCTGTCGTTCCAATTTTAGTATATGTGGTGCCGAAGCAAACTCAGACCCAGGCACTTTGTACAAAGCTTGACCAGGAGGAACGTCCAGCTTGTTCTGTCTTCCATCCTCTGTTGAGCCAGTTGAGTCATCTGCTGGCCTAGATGCTCTGGCTGTCCTGTTCCCCATGTGGATCTGGGCATGTAGTCCACTGCCCAGGTATCAGCAACTGATACACGCAGTCCAAGTCGGACTATGTATTCTGTGATTTTCCATGTGACCGGGATTTGAGTCCAATGATCTTGTTAGGAAGTCCGCCTCATCCCGAAACCTTATCTGGGGTGACCTCAGGGTTGACTCTTATGTGAACCAGACAGACAGGGTCCGGTTCAGCCAACACACATATCATTGCATGCAGATACCTGGTCAGTTCTGCTCCCAGCTCCATCTCTTACATAAACTGATGGGTGCTATAGATTAGTCCAACCTAATCCACCAAGGCCTGGTCTCATACGCACTAGCAGGTGCCACCGCCTAGTCAGGACAACCCCCCCCCCCCCAATAACTCACTACGCCCACCTGCAGCCCCAGTTTTTGTGCAGGTAGGCCAGACTGTGCTGTGCAGACCCAAGGTGCTACAGCTTAGCCCCAGCCTGCCCCCTCCCCAGACCCATCCCACGTGTTTGCCAAGGGATGCTGCCGCACTCCCAGTTGCAGCTCTCACACTCATCAGTGGTAGCAGTGGTCCAACAGGGGAACCAGTGCAACACCAGCTCCCCACCCCATCAGGTTTGCCCCCAACCCCAGGTCTTGCTCATGCTGGTGTGTGCTGTGGCTCAAGCAGGCATGCCTGCCTTGCCTTGGCATTTGCTGGCAGGTACTACAACCCAGCACAACCTGGCCAGACCCCAGTAACAGCCCTCATGTGAACAAGTGAGTGTAGTGGTCCAAACCAGTCTATCCTGCACCCTATCCTAACTCTTGCAGCTGCCAGCAGGTGCTGTGGACTGGCCCAGCCCAACTTACTCACAGACCTGGCCCACATGCATGCTAATGGGTACTGTAGCCTTTCTCCTTCTCCTTTTCAAGATTTTTGTGCTTTTATTGTAAATGCAAATATACAGAGAGGAAGAGAGACAGAGAGGAAGATCTTCTATCTGATGATTCACTCCCCAAATGGTCGCAATGGCCAGAGCTGAGCCGATCCAAAGCTGGAGGCCAGAAGCTTCCTCCAGGTCTCCCACGCGGGTGCAGGGTCCCAAGGCTTTGGGCTGTCCTTGATCGACTGCTTTCCCAGGCCACAAGCAGGGCTGCCGGGATTAGAACCAGTGCCCATATGGAATCCAGGCGCAGACAAGGTGAGGACATTAGCTGCTAGGCTACCACGCCAGGCCCAACTGTAGCCTTCTTGGCCAACCCACACACGTTCCCCCTCTCACTAGTGGGTATTAGAGCCCATTCCTGCTTGGCCCATTCTCAGACTGGGTTCTTTTGTGGTGCTGTGGGTGCTGCAACCTAGCCCAGCCCATCCTTCGCCCACTCTGGCTCTCTTGAACGCAGTGAGTGCTGGGGTCTTGCTAAGTTTGGGCCACCCCTGGACCCAGCCCACACTCATGCTGAAGGAATGCCAATGGATGCCAAAGCGTGCTCTGTCCCAGCCCAGGACACCCTACAGTGTTCATCTCAGTCGGCCCCTAGACCTGGTTCTTGTACTCACCAGTGGGAACCGCAGTTAAGCATGGAGTCCACTTAGTTCCCCTATCAGTCCCACTCTCAATCCAGGTCTTGTGCTCTGACCCTGCCTGGCATGGTCTGCCCCTAATCTAGGCACTTGGCAGCAGATGCTGTACCCTAGCCTGGTTTGCCTCCCCACAGGGGGAACTGTGGCTTAGCCCTACCCAGCCTGCTCCCATTCCCAGCTATCATGTGAACTGTTGGGTAAAGTAGCCTAGTCCAGCATGGCCCAACACCCCATCCTGGCTCTTGCAAGTGCCAGCAGATGCTAAAGCTGAGTCTGTTCCAGTCCAGCTCACCCCACAAGTCAGCCCACACATATCCCTGCCTGGCCCAGCCCACTTCAGCCCCATCTCTTGTACTCAGTCATTGGAGCTATGGCCTTATAGGAGAGTTCTTCAAGTTCCCCCACCAGGCCCGCTCTCAGACCTGGATCTCATTTGTGCCCAGGGATGGTAGGCCCCTGCATGGCATAGACTGCCCTCAGTCTTGCCCCTTGCATGTGCTTGCAGGTGCTTGGCCAGACCGACTCTCGGACCCATTTCTCAGGTGTGCCCGTGGGTGCTGCAGCCTGGACCAGCCAGCCTGCTCCCAATTCCAGTTCCTGTGAGTGTTGGTGAGTTCCGGGGTCAGCCTGTCACCACCCCCAGCTCTCTCACAGGAGTGGGCCCTACAGGATGTATCCCCTTGGTCCAGTTCTCTTGCGTTCAGGTTGGTATCATGTTCCAGCCTTGCTCTGACACTTGCTGGTGGGTATTGTGGCCTTGTCCTGCCAGGCAGGGTCCCCCGCACCCAGTGCATCCTTTGTGTGTGCTGGTGGGTGGCAGATAATAGCAGCCAGCCCAGTTTAGGGCTCCCCATGGGTGGGTTCACTGGTCTGATCCAGACATGTCCTTTGGTTTCAGCTTGCTCATCGATCTGCAAGCACAGTGGTCCGGTCCATGGAAGTCCCCCAAAATCATATCTGTAAAGTACTCTGTTGGCTGCCCCAGCTCCCACACATTCTCAGACCCCCTGCCGTGGGTGATCTGCAGCACCCCCTGCACAGTGGCAATGTGTGGCTGGGGTGGCAAGTCCTGACCTGGGCTGCCCTGCTTTCTCCATAGATTTTTTTTTTTTTTAATAAGGATTTGTGTATTTCCATTGGACAGTCAGATATGCAGAGAGGAGGAGAGACAGTGAGAAAGATCTTCTGTCCAATGATTCATTCCCATAGTGGCCGCAATGGCTAGTGCTGAGCCGATCCAAAGCCAGGAGCCAGGTGTCAGGAGCCAGGAGCCTTTTCCAAGTCTCTGACATTGGGTGCAGGGTCCCAAGGCTTTGGGCCATCCTTGTCCGCTTTCCCAGGCCACAAGCAGGGAGCTGGATGGGAAATGGAGCTGCCGGGATTAGAACTGGCGCCCACATGGGATCCCAGTACTTTCAAGGTGAGGACTTTAGCTTGCTAGGCCACGCCGCCAGGCCCTCTCTATATATTCTTAAAAAAGAAAAATAGAATAGGCAACTATGCTGGCACGCTGGTCTGGTTAAAATAAATTTGGCATTAACCAGGCCCAGAATGCCTGCCAGCTCTTGCTGCTTTTCCTGCAACCTGGCAGTTGCCTACAGCTGCGGGGAGATGCTCCCATTTCTCTCCTTCTTAGTTTTTCTGCCTCTCAAATGACAAGACAAAAAGAACAAGCAAACGAAATTCAAAAAGCAGAAATCCGTAGAGTTCTGGGCATCAGTTGGTTCCTTCCGGCCTCTCAGTTAACTGAAATAAGAAATACATGTGTGTGTGCTGAGAATGTGCACTTAATTATAATCTGTGCACGGTATATGTATGTGTGTCTAGGCATGTAATGGAAATGTTAGCTGGATATATTTGTATATTATGACTATATGCATGTTTTATTATTATATATATTTTTTAAGATTTATTTTTATTATTTTATTTGTTGGAAAGGCAGATATACAGAGAGGAGGAGAGACAGAGAGGAAGATCTTCCGTCCGATGATTCACTCACCAAGTGAGCACAACGGCCGATGCTATGCCGATCCGAAGCCAGGAGCCTCTTCTGGGTCTCCCACGCAGGTGCAGGGTCCCAAAGCTTTGGGCTGCCCTCGACTGCTTTCCTGGGCCACAGGCAGGGAGCTGGCAGGGAAGCGGGGCTGCTGGGATAGAACCGGTGCCCATATGGGATCCCGGGCGTGCAAGGCGAGGACCTTAACCACTGCGCCACCGCGCCGGGCCCTATTATTATTATATTTGGATGATCTTTACATAGGTGATGAGAGCGCAAAGGGTCAAGGGCTACAGGAAAGTGGGTAAGACCATTCTTTCCACATTCTCTTCTTTCCTTCCTGTATCTGGGGGAAGGGGAGAGACAAGGGGAGAAGCCACACCCAGGCTCCCAACCATCCAGGATCCCTGATATGGGGCATGCTCTGAGGGTCCTGCTCAAGTGGTTTCAATAGTTCAATAGTTTTGAATTGCTGCCAATCTCACCATTCTAAGCGTGATGAAATCTCTCCAGAACCCACCGACTGACATATTCCACCTTAGAGCCTTCTTCTGTCCTGGTATTCACTGGCAACGCTCGGCTGGAGTTGTTGATCAGTTTGTTCTGTCTTCTGTCATGGTACCAAGTGTCCTCTGCAGGCTCCCATAGACTGCCATATCCCCCACGGGCACCTGGCCATGCTGTCCACTGCTCCATCTGAGCCACTGAGGAGGCCCAGCTCTGACACATGCACTCCACCGTCAGACCATGGAACCTGCACTTCTCTTCATGGTTGGGGTTCTGAGTCCAGCAGTTCAGTTGGCGGGGGGATCTCCCCAAAAATATGACTTTTGTAGATAACTGTGGTTCTGACCTGACAGCACAGGTTTCCTTCTTGAGTTGTTCATTGGCTTATTTATAATTTTTCTTTCTCTGAGAGCAAGAAACCTGGTTTTCATTATCAATTTAAGAGCTTTCAAAGTCAATTTAAAATGTTATTTTGTAAAAGGCAATCCTATGCCTTGCGTTTGTTTTCAAAGCTAGGGACTTGGTGTTTTTCTAAGGACTGACATAGAACCCTTGTATGTTTTCTAGCCTTCAAGGGAGGGCGCGGCTTAGCTGTAGTCTGTAATTTGTGTATCCCATTTCAAAGGGAATCCTGTGGCTCTCAGGGAGAATCTGGCTTGATCAGGTTTTAGGGAAACAGCAATCTCACCATCTAGATATGAAGATGAGTGACTCGGCCTTTGTTCCTTTAACTTGCCTTTGGAACTAGGAGCTTACTAGTTCCCAAACACGTCACTGATGCTGTGGAGTTGGGGAGGGCACTTTTCAAGGAACGGGATAT